AAAAGCGAAATCATGAAGGGAGACAAGCTTGGGAGACAAGGCGGCAGTGGCAGCCAAAAGCGAAATCATGTGTGCATCAGCAACCCCAAAATCTTGCCAAGCCCACGACGCGGTGTGCAGGAAGTAGAACCTGCCATGTTCACCACGGGGCACAGTGGCCCCAACATGGGAAGATGGCCGAACCCCGTCACTACGTCAGAGTTGAGTTATATGCTGTATCCACGGCCTCTGTCTTGGTTTTCTTAGCTACCTTTTGCTTTCAATGATATAATAGTTTGGAGCGTGAAAGGGTACCCTCCAACCGCATTCTTGGCTCAGGTGCCCATGTTCTATGTTTGAAGCAACATCTGTAGATGCGCATAGTCATAGGGCTGTCATGAAGCCATTCAAGACTGGAAAGCTCGAGTGGACTCAACTGCAGGCTTCTATGACTGCATGGAGCGTCCAAGCAAGGCTGACAGATACAGGAGGATACCAATGAGAGACTTTCTGGCAAATTTGCTCAAGCTGAAAGATCATAGCGCGCAGAGGATGAAGCAGAAGTCGCACTTCGGATGAATTTCACACCCAGCTCAAGCCAGGACAGCTGGATCCCGTTTCGCCGCGACATGCTTCGCATGTCATAGATGTGATGAGACACAGGCAACGCGTGCCGCTCCGCGTGCCACGGTCCTCGCCGCTCCGCCGCTCCGCCTGCCAGGTTGTCGACGGCTCTCCAGCCGTTGCCAGCCATTGGCTCGAAGCGCTTGAAGCCCTGCGAGCCTGGGAATTCGATACCGCAAGAGCTTACAGTGGATGATAAAGAAATATGAACATATGATAACAATGATATATCATGATAACAGTTTCAGTTTCATGGAAACCTCTATTCTCAACTCCAAAGTGATCAAAGTCTTCCTCCGATGATCTCTGATTCTTTGGTAGGACACCAGATGCATTCTTTTGTCCGAGTATCAGCAACCACAAAAATGTGCCGAGGGAACAAAAAACGATCTGAAAAAGACAACAAAAAGACCATTGACCATACAAAAAAAAGTTTGTTAATCATACTAAAAAGGACCCATGCCCAAAAAATAGGATTGCTCTTCAAAAAGCCCATGGAATCGAGCCCGCTTCACGAAACGAAGCACCGAACCGGACGACGCGAAGAGACGTCGGTGAGACGTCCGTTCCAGTGCACCACACCGACCACGGTCGATCGCAAACCACACATGAGGCTCACTGGGCAATTCCTGGTTCATGTGAATCCCTTACGTTAGTAAACACATGGTGGTTCACATCATGCTTAAAATTGCTTAAACTTCGTGACGTGGCAAGCTCAAGCATCTTCAGACAATGTTGTGTCTATGCAGCACAGAAAGCCTTCTATTGTAATGGTGTGCACTTTAGTTGATTGATTGCATTTACTGTCTTAGCCCCAAATCAGTAAAATTGTTCTTTTTCAAATTTTGTTCAGGTGGCGCGTGTTCACGGTCATTCATGTCCAGAACTTTTTGCACCTTTGCAGGGTGTGAGACCCAATAAAAAACCTCAGGTAGGAAAAACAGAGCGGTCCCAATGTTTGTTCCAGCAACTCTAAGCAAATCATGTGCAACATGCAGGCATTTCGATAATGACAAGCGCTGATCACGTTGACATGTCTGTGCTGAAAATGATTTGCGGTCAGCAACCCCAAAACCCACGGAACCGGAACCACTTCATGCTCGCAGGCAAGGCCCGCTTTGGTTAACATGATTTCATATGACTTTCTACAGTACATATTCCTACTACCTGTCTTTGTTCTCCAACGATCCCCAACCCTCCCAAAACACTCCGCGGCCAACCTCACGCAACCTCGCACAACCGGCGATCCTCCAGAGCATCTGCGGATCCGCCTCTGCACCCTGGCGCTCCACGGAGATTCACCCGCTGAGTCCACGAGAGGATGTTGCTTGAGACCAGAGACAAGTTGGAAGCGGGGTCTACCAGGTTGAGTCATCGAAGGTTGGCCATTGTACTTTTGAGGCCCCAATCTGAAAGACCTAAAAATTACGCCAGCATAGACCCAGATAGCTAGGCAGAATCCCACGACCTGTGACATGTGCAGCCTGCACAGCCAGCTTACGGCACCTGTAAAGCGCGCGCGGCCAGCTGACACCAGCACCTGCACCCAGGACCACAACACCAGCGCCAGCACCGACACCCTCCCGAAAGCGCGGACAGCCTGCTCATTCCTCTTTGAAGTAAGAACCACATAGCTACCGCATGCTACCGCTAGTTGGGGAAAACAACGTATGATCTTGTGCGTATAAGCTTCTTTGCGCATCTTTGCGCGCAAAAGTATGCGCCCAAACAGCAAAGCCCGTAAGTGTCACTGGCCCAAGGCCAAGCAGTATACAGGGCCACTATTGACTTTGTAGCACGCTTGAGGCAACGATCTGTAAAACGATAACACCGTATGATCTTGCGCGTATAAGTTTACGCGCACAGAAGTATGCGCACAAACAGCAAAGCCCATAGGCTTCAATCGCCCAAGGCCAAGGAGCATCCAGCACCACTATGGCGTTTGCTGCCTGCCGAAAAAGTGGTCGGTTGAGAGCCTGATGTTGCGCATATGTGCACACAAAACTATGCGCGCAAACAGTGCAGCCCTTGACACAGCAGTCGGCCAAACCAGAACCTGAAGAGTGTAAATACCCCACAGCGCTAATAGACAAAGAACGCTCAAGCGACAACACCGTATGATGTTGCGTGTGTATATTTATGCGGCCCATGACTGCCGGCACTTCACTGTCAGAAGCGGCGGTTGGTCGCCCTTCACCGTAGCCACCCTTCGCTGTCAGAAGCGGCGGCTGGTATGTTGGCCACTCTTCATTGTCAAAAGCGGCAGTTGGTCACACTTCACTGTCCCAAGCGGCAGGTGGCACCCATTCACTAAGGCATACGGATGTTCACACAAAGCTCCATCAGCCACATCCAAAGCTTTGGAATGAGGGCGTGCGCAACCATGTTGGCCCCAAAAGGCAACTGCCCGCAGTTCGCCAGCTTTCCAAGCACCCTGTCTCCACCACGCACACAGCCAGCACCAGCACCCAGCACCGGCACCCTGTCTCCGCCACGCGCGCAAGCACCCAGTACCGGCACCCAGCACCTGCCTCCACCACGCACACAGCCAGCTCAAAGCACCCAGCACCAGCACCACAGCCAGCACCAGCACCCGGCACCGGCACCCTGTCTCCACCACGCACACAGCCAGCGCCAGCACCACAGCCAGCACCAGCACCCGGCACCGGCACCCTGTCTCGAAAGCCTGCACAGCCAGCTCATTGTTATTTGAAGTAAGAACCCCATAGCTGTCGCTATCTGGGGAAAGAAGATCCTTGCACATAGATCTTGTAGTTTCAAGAGAATCCAGATTGGTTCAAGGACCATCATGGCCAAAAACACACCAACAAATGCGATATGCCGGACATGTTTGATGTTTTGTATTGAGTAGTTGTGCGCAGTCTTGCCCTGTGTCACGGCACTTCCCGCATGGGCCCATGTTTTCATGTAAAGAAACAACTCCAAGAAGAACTGCTGCAGAATGGTAATGTTTCTAAATAAGCGTTCCATGCACTTCCCTACCCTGGAAACAAAATGCTTCCCTGCCTCCGTTGATGGCTTTGGCCCTGGAAAGGCAGGTGGAACCAGCGTGGAAATGAAAAGCCTTTTGATGTCCGTGTGTGGTTTCCAAAACTCAACTTGAAGTTCTTGGAAACTCATTTGAATGAATTTGGATTTTGTTTCAACACTGCAGAAAGGTTTGCCTTTACGCGGAAGGGCCTCGCAATATATTTCCCTCCCTGATCTCCCTGCAACAATCCTGGAAGTGGACAAACCCTTGGTGAAGAAAAATGGTCTTCCTTTGGGCCATGCCATCCAGGAAGCTACGCCGCTACGCCGAAGTTCACGGTGTTGATTCTTGCCTTCACTACCTGCCCGGCTTGGCGGCATGGAGTGCTCCGGCAAGCCCCAGCTGCCGACCTGCCGGACGTGGCGCCACAGCCCAAGTAGTTGCGTTACGGTGCGAACGAGATTGAAAGAGAAATCCCCAAGAAATAAGTCGAACCAAGTCTAGAGCTCCATGAGCTCCATGTTCCGAAAGAAGGTCCAGACATCAAGGGCCCCTGACACTAACAAAGGGCATCGCTACGAACGGAGTATTGATGGCCCTCCGTCGCCGGAGTGTTGGTGCACACTGATGCACACATGGCTCGTCTTGGTCAGACACTGGAATCGGGCGGAACGACCAATGTGTCTCAACATGAGCTGAGCTGTTAAAAGCAGAGTGTGAGATTCCAACACTGTTTTAAGAAGTGCGTTCTTGTTCTCACAATTGACCTAGTGACCTGTATCCTAGAAGCGGAAGGTTTAAACACCACCAAGTTCTGCTTTGGGGAGTGGGCCTTCGCTGCCGTCGCCTCCGCGTGCGGCCGCGGCTCCGCCTCCAAGCACGTTCAGCGGAAAGGACGGTTCGTTGGGTTCGGCGAACCGGCGTTGGGACTCTGGAGGTTGGCGTGGCGCTCCATCTGGAGGCTACTCCTCCTTTCAAACCAAGCAGTTTCTGAGGCTTTTCATGGTGAAAGCACGACTTCTGGCACTTCGACATGGCCTTGGTGACACGCTTGGCCTGGCGCGGAGGGGAGGAGGGGAGGATGGTTCTGTGGTTTTGACACACTGGGAATGAAGAGTCTAGCATCTATTCTAGGACACTTAAATTGATAGTATATTTCCAGAAGGTCGAAATTGATAGACGGCTGTCATAAGCTGTCGCTGTTGAGACCTGAGAGGCCAGATTGCATCAGATTACCAAAGTCAACTTCACTTCCCCACAAAAAGAATTGATAAACAGCGACAAACATCTAAATTCTATCTAGTCACGAACAAACGAAACAGGACAGACACTGCCTAAATCAGAAAGTAATGGAGACATTTAAGGGAGATAACGATTAACACGGTTTCTGAAAACCACTGGTTTATCCATGCCATCAGGTTCCATGCAGGTCTCTTCCCGGGTGTACATACAACCATCTTGTCTGGGTACCCTGGTTCCCTAATTCCACTACTTAGAGCTGTTCAGACAAGACACCCAGACAGGATGGTCCTAATAGAAAATCCGTGGGACGGGATCGCTTCGAGAAGCGAACACACAGGTCCTTTCCAGTCGATCACCTCCCTTTCATCTGCCCTTTCTCGGCCTCAACTCGCCCGGGCCGCCCCAGGCTTTGACGCTTCTGTGCCTGCGCTTGAAAAAACGGAAAGACAATGAAACTATGGATACTTCTTTTCAGGAGGTTTAGAGAAAATACGAGAACTACATCCTCAAAAATAGAGACAAAAGAAAGGTAGCTTTTGAGAAAAAAGGTGTCGGAAAGACCAATGGCCGGACTTGGGCAGCCCAGTTAACCCTGAGCATCCCTGCATTCGGCCAAAAGCGCGTCGTCAGCGAGCGAGATTTGGACCACACTCCGAATTTCCGTTCATCCAAATGCATGGTGGATGACTCGGATCACCATGTGAAAAATCCGAACACCAAACAGGCAGGTGGTTCTTTTTCCTCCACAAAACGATGATGATTCCAGGGAGCGTCGATTTCTTCGCGCCGAAGGAGACGACCAGGGCTTGGGCATTGCCCCCAGTTGGTGGAAAACCGGCGTTCACGACGCGACGGTCAAGCCGTTGGTCCCAGTTGGTGGCGCGAGATTGCCTGGTCACTAAAAGAAAACAAAAGGACCACACAATGAGAGAGAGAGAGAAGAAAGAAGAAAGAAAAAATAAAAGAAAAAGAGAGGCAGAGTCCAAGAAGGGGCTCAAATGTGACCAGGCTGCTACCACAGGCAGTTCTTTGACAAGACTAGACCCTGAGTGTAGTGAGTACTTGGGTGCTCCAGAGAAGAGACAGAGTGCATGGCATGGAATGGTTTTGCTGTGCTGGATTCCTCTCTTGAAACATGGATGTGCATTTTCATCGGGAGACAACGGAGACGACCCATTCTTGCCTCTGTCTGGGTCGACTGGTCTATGTTGCTTCTTCCATAGGGCCGTTGCCTGCGAGCTCTCCCTATCTTCCAACACCCCCCATGGTCAAGCTCCGAGTCGTCGGCCCGTCGGCCCTCGTCTCTCCTGCCCATCCCCCGCCTGCAGAATCTCAGACAGGCCTTGGAAGCCATCGCTGAAAAAAGACCCTCGTGTCGGTGAGGCCAGTCTAAAAAAGGCCCTCGTGTCGGTGAAAAGATCAGAACGCAGCCCAGTCTTTCGAGGTTTCCTACAAGGTGCATGAGTCAACCGGTTTGTACACTAGTAGCGCATCCTGGGTGAGCTGCTCAACCTGACGGCCCTGCAAGTGGAACCTCTGGTCGACCAACATCCAACCAGAACCGTCTTGCCCATGGTCAGGTCTCTTTCAAGACATGTGTTCCTTGTCACCTGGTCTGACCTTATGACCTACACTAACCACCATTGACCTATGTTCACTTCCGATCCTCCCGCCCAACCAAAACAGCAAAAGAATGAAAACACAAAAATATATTTATGTTTTGTTTATTTATGTGCATATATATATACATATATGTATTTCAACGCGTTGAACGGTTGCCCCATGGCAAACCCAGCCCGCCAGCCCCACACCTCCGGGACCCGAGCTCCGGCGACGCTTGGGTTCTGGCTCCACCTGAGAGGGAACCGGTGGGAACCGAGCGCGGTCCACCCGGAAAGCAGTGCGATGGGGTGGGAACCGACCCAATTCGAACTTGGGGATGGCTGGTGATGGCGGTTGAAATGAATTGGGTGAGAAGTGATGCCGAACTTTGGGCTTGACTTCAGGACCTCCTGGCCTCTTGAATGAGGCTACAACCCTGGGTCCAGGTCTAAAGAATCAAGTCCAATGAATTCCAGCCAAGCCTTGGCCAGAAGGAGAACGGACCGACCGAGAATGCAAATGTTCTTTCTTTGCGATGGGCGCCGCCCTAGCTTCAACAACTGGGGAGAAGTCTTCAACCCCTTGGTCGAATTTTGAATTGCCAAGCATTAGCCGGACTGTGCTCTGAGGCTGTAGCTCTCCCTCGCTACACTGCTGGAATGCGCGAATGCGCATGCAGGTGGCAGCACGCTTCTGTCACCACTGAAACACCACCTATAGCCGTGGGGCCGCAAAAGTATGCGTTTGTCGCCCGCGCGCGTCACAAAACGCGCCTCCCGCGCTGCATGTCTGCATCGCCGGCAGCAAGCACTGAGCAGCAAGCTACACCACCAAAGCCACGCCCAGGTGACTCACATCTCCGGTCTCAGCGGCTCGCGAAGGGCCGAAGTCCCCACATCACTCGCCACGACTTCGCACGTTGCGATTTCGACCTGACCACGTCGTTCTCAGCTGCAACAGCCGGCGCGAACTTCACAAGTTCACAACTGCACCAAAAGCCAAGCCAAACATGGCGTGGCTGTAGACGTGGTCAGCGTGGGCCAAAGCTGGCGCTGAGACACAGAAAGAGCTGCAACGCCACACGACAACCCCAGCCCCAAACACTGCCCACCACAATATCCCCAAGGCTCTTCACTGCTTTGCCCCGCCAACTGATCATTGTAAGAACCCCACGTCTCACACACAGCCACATGCGAACCTGCGGCTCTACGTAGCACTATTCACGGCCGCTGGCACCCTGAGGGTTTGGCGCCTAAACCACTGCACTCATGCCCCATTGCCAACATGCACGAAAAGTCTAAAAGCCCGGCATTGGAGCACTCGGTGAAAACTTGCTCGTCCTAGAAGCATGCCCATTGTGTCCAGAGAAAGCTCCAAAAACACTCCACGCCTGAACCAACGCGGCTGCGCATGCTTCGGCCATCCACCTGTTAACACAGACATCAGGCCATCCTCTTTGGCCATCGGCGATGCTTTCAACTTCTCCTGTTCCCGAACGCGGCACCCCGCCTGCGCGGCGTCCTCAGCTCCCGAACGCGTCTCCTGAACGATGCCGGCCGGACCCGTGGTCCGAGTGGAAGGCATGGTCCGACCGGAACCAGAAAGGAACAGAAGACCCGGCCAACTCCGAACACATCACATGGAAGTGGCAAAAAAGAGAACCTGTTCTGTTCTGTAGTCAAGTAGTCTTCGTAAAGGGACCATGGGATGGCATGGTCCACTTCCATGTGATGTGTTCGTTAGAGTGTAACTCCAAAGGGAGCTATGGCGAAAGCGTAGAGAATCCCTACCAATCCCTCTCAAAGCATGGATTGGAGGTACCATGGTTGCGGCTCAAGTCTGAGCTCCCTCTTGAAAACAAGAAACCCAGAAGCACACCAAGCTTGGCTCTCCAATCCTGGCGCGATCCTCCAATCCAGCGGCTTTTGTTCAACGGGGTTTTCCTCGCAGTCGGGGCGACCAACGAACCATGCGCGGCTTCACTCGCTTTGGCAGCTTTGGGGCGTCAGTCGGCGTCAACGCATCGAACAGGACCCCGTCTCGGCCATCGCCTCGTGCGAGGCACCCCTTCGGCCGGTGGAAGGGGCTGGGTGAACCCGCTGTTCTGGGGCGTTTCGGAAAAGCCTCACCCATCTGAAAACAAAGCACTGGAAGGGAAGAACATGCCAAAAACATGCCAAGAAGAAAGGAACGAGTGACCGTTCAGAAAGGCCCTTGCATACCTAGGACAAATGCAGCTGTTGTAGATTTCGCCTCTTCCATTGTTCCTTTCCCTTTTCCATCACCACAGAAGCTGTTTGGCAACGGAACTTCGACCCAGAACTGCCTCACGTGTTTCACTGAGCCCAGGCAATCCTCGCGTGTCACACATCACCCACCTGAAGGACTCTACGTGAAGGACCCAGCTCCGAATCCTCCACCATGGAAGGGCCTCTTCACCCATCCCCTCCAGGCATCTTGCGCCTCTTCACAGGCTCTGGACACTTGCAGCTTGGAGGAGAGAAGGCACGGCCCCAGAGCCGCCGTGGCCTTCCAGTGCAGTCCGGGGAGCCGCTGAAACCGCTCCTCGGCCACCGCCCAGTCGCGAGAACTGGGTCCGCGAGAACCGGGTCCGCGGCGGAAGACGGCCAGCACGTTGGCTTGCTTGGCCTCCGCGAAAGAACACCATGGAGGTTCGTTATGGTTCGTTGTTGTTTCTTTGGGTTTTGTAGGGGGAATGCCAAGTAGCACGTTGGTGCATGAGGGGCTTTTCGAAGCACGTTGCTGTTGGTGTGTTCCTTCCAAAAAAAGGTCGCAGTCTTCGGATCGAGAGGCAGAGTGCTACTGGCTAGCCTAGCCAGGGTAGACTGTTACACGCTGTAGTTCTGTGAGAAAAGAAACAGAGAACTCATCCAATCAGCAAGTTCCTAGTTTGGGATCACTGCTCATTGCTCCTGGCTTTATGTTATTGGACAGCCATTCGGACAATGATGTTTCTTGCCCTCTTTGAGCGGATGTCTTTGTGGAGCTCCCCCTGATCTGCACATCTTCCGAAAGCCGCCTGCTCGAGATGTGGCATGATGGACACCATCTCCGGCACAATGGACTCAGGCAATGTCAAGGATTCGCCTGGATGCACAGAGTCGCCTACAAAACACGTCCCTAAAACGGTGGAAAACTTTGTTATTGGTCTGTTTTTTGACTTTGAAGCCTTCCATTGGGCTGTGCACGCTGGCTTGAAACTTCATTGAAAATCAAATCCAACAACACCTGTGTTCCCGGCAGGAAAGGGCGGGGCCATTGGAAGGCTTGTGCAGAGGAAACGTGCTTTTTTCTCGCACACGGAGGCCCCACCACTAGTGATCTGGTTCATATCACACCAGTGCACTTCTAGTGCTTGGTCGATAAAGATAGAATGTTGCAGTCCAAAATTATCCAAGATTTCTCACGTCTCTCCCAGCCCCCTCTGGCTTGTCTGCCGTGCAACGCGCCAGCAGTTCGTGCAGAAGGTCCCAGAAGAAGCGCTCTTCTGCGGGTGACCAGTAATACGATGGACGATGAAGTGAGAGGTTCAAGATCTCATAGCCTGCTGCACCTGGTTCATCTCTGCTACGTCCGTAGTCGGAGTGCACCATCTTGGGGAGGAACAAAAAAATCTAAAAGTTGTGGTGTGAATCCGATCTCATGTTCAAGTTTGCCTAACTTGGAATATTTGATGATGTTTTTTCTCGGCTGAGCAATGGCTCAATTTGGCTGTGGCACGAAGTAACGAGTGCAGATGGTTCTGGCTGAAGATTCAATCCATCTCAAACATCTTAGACCAAATCATATGTCTGTATATATGATGAATACACATTATTTTATACTCTATATTTTATATAAATATATATGATAAATGTCAAAGGAAGCCAATAATGATGAACAAACAGACTTCTTCCCACCACCCACCGTCTTCTTTCGGTTTTCAGCGGTTTTCTTCCCTTCCCTTCCTCTTGGACCTTCTTTCCAACGTCTTCTTCCCAGCGGTCCCCATGGCCTGCGAGGGCCTGGAAGAACTGCGGCTCGTACTCCACGGCGCCATGGCGGGGCCAACACCCTGCCGCCGGCACCATGTGGATGATAAGGCCGTCTCCTGGAGCCGATGCTCCGATGGGAAGAAGAACGGGCCGTCTCCCTGGCCGAAGACCATGCCCGAAATTGGAAGCCACATGGTGGTGTGATGTGGGGTTAGGTCTCATCATAACAAACGAAGTCCAATTGGCTTTCCCTTTGCGATTTGGTGCCGATTTGGTGGCGTTCGTCATCCATGCAGAATGCCGGAAGCGAGGTGCCGATGTTGGATTCGTGGGAAGGGGGCCAAGTGATTGGCGCAGTGTGGTGTGGTTTGAAAATGAGATGATGGGATGAGGACCCACCTACCCGGTACTGACCTGGTACTTACTTACTTGGATTGGATATATAGATGCGTGCACACGTCCCATATTGCCAGGTGAAAGGGTAGGGTCAGAAGTCACTTCAACCACACTAGCTGGGGTCAGAAATCAGATTAAGGAACCAAAGCAGGTTGGCAGCTTCTGTTAAGTGACTCTGACCATCACCTTCGGGACCCTGGTCCTTCCAACCCGATAGCGTCACTTCATCACTCCCGATAGCTAGCCAACTGGATCCACCCGTGCGCCAGTCTCCTCGCAGCAGCTGGTGTATGTTGCGAAAGGCCTCCAGGTGGAGGCGGTTTTTTTCCAGGCATCAACTCAAACTACGACCTAAAACTCACACGTGGAACCTATTGCGCGAATCCGAAAGAGATGTGAAGTGTGCTCTAGCGATTCAGAGAAAAAGCGCTGCCTCATTGTTTCATCATCCAAAGGACCCAAGAACAGTGGCCCACTGTCTTTCCATGTAGATCCAGTTCGTGTGGGAAAAAACGGTCTGCAAATCGATGTGTCCATCTCTTAGCTGTCGCCCAGCTTGCACACTATGGTCATACAGCGCTCAAGGTCTTGTGCTGTGATATAGATTCATATCATTGCAGGCATTTCAAGTGCTTGGATATCCTTCTGACCAAAGAACCCAGATGGTGAATCACACACGGGTCAACATATGCTGATGTTTCTGAGGTTCCCTAGCATGTTTGCGTGCAGACGCAGACATAAAGTATCTTGTTGCTGGCACAGTGCTTGGAATTCCTCGCCCGTCGCATGGACTGCACATTGACATGTGAGCCAGGCGCTTTTGTTGTGCCGGCTAAAGTGACAGAGAGACAGCTAACGCTTCCATTCCGGAATGTAACTCCCGGATCACTCCCTGAAATCATCATGTGAAGTGCTGGCACCACCACCTGTTTGGAAAAGGGGTAGAAAATGGATGAACTTGAACTGATGAACATGGTCCTCCGAGTCCGTTGCCATGGCGTGGCCATCCACGGATCGGCCGGGGTTTTCAAGAGGACGACACGTGGCCCGTGTGAAGCGTGCCGCTTCGGGCTCCAGTGCTGGAGTGCAGGGTGTGCAACTCCGACAGGTGGGGTGGTCCCAGGATCGGGTAAACAATTGAACAAGACCATCTTGGATGCAGAGAGCAAACCATCTTGGATGGGTCAAACCTGCTTGGCAAGCAAGTTGGCTTGCCATACACTGGCACGAATAAAGCCTGACTGTCCACAGCCTGTGACACACCATGGAACGCGGGTGGAGGCGAACTGAATCGCTGCTATTTGAGATTTCTACAAAGCCGGCCAAAGAACCAAAGCCACTGCGCAGATCCCCGGCGGCTGTGCAGAGGGCGTTCTTCGTTCTGTCTTTTTCAGTGAGCATGGTCAATCCTGAAAAGCCTTGAAGATGGTCCAAGAACAGCCACCCCGGCCATCCTGAAAAGCTCCTGAAGATGGTCCATGGTGGTCTAACACAATTCATCAAACATTCAACCCCTTCAACCTCCAACCGGCCGCAAGCTGGACCGGTTCCGTCCTCCTTTGGACGGCCTCCGTGGACCACGGTTGACCGGTGACCGGTAGCGAAGCGCGGTGCGACTTCTTCCACTGCAAAGGGACCGGTGAACCACCACAGACTGCTTCCAGGTCAGGCCGCAATTCAAGTTGCTAAAGAAATAGCTCCAAGGACCAGCAAAAAACGCGACGAGTATAGTAGCTCCTGGCATCGCTACGAACGGAACAAGAAGCTACTGGTAACAAAGGGCATCAGGAGCAAGGATGCTACTAGGAGGAAAGGACAATAGAAACAAACATATATATAAACACGCAGGGTCTCGACGAAACCGTGCGGAACACCACCCCCAGGCCTGATACTGCGAGCTCCATAGATCCAAAAGCTCAAAGCCCGCAGGCGCATTGATATATTCACCCTCCTGCAGTCCCAAGGAAAGAAGTGTTCGGTGCCGCATATAAGGCGTGCTGAACCGAAGATATTTCGCCCGAATTCCTTCTTCGGATTGAGACACGAGGAAAAAAAGGAAGGCGTTCTTTCTGATGGAACCGACTCGCAACGTCAATCCATGGGTCAAAATGGCTTGCCCTTCCCGGTCAGTCGATGTATGTTCTCACATCC